CTGTTGGGCACCTCAGCGGGTGAAGCCGGCCTTGAGAAAGGCTCGCGGGGGCCGGGAGGCGCGAGGCGGTGCTGCACTGCCATTGGCTGCCGTGCCCCGGGCGGCAATAGARGGGGCGGGAGGAGAGAATGCCGCCATGCGATTGGCTGAGGCGGCTGCCCCGCGGACGCTGATTGGCTGCGAGAGATGCCACTGAAGGCGCGGCGGCGTGAGGGGAAGGCCGCTGAGGGAGGCGGGAAGGGCGGGCGCGGCGGCTTTGGGCTTCCTCGGAGCGGGGCCAAAATCACGGCTACGCCTGAGGGGCCGATCGTGTCTATGCGGCAGTCGCCTAAGAGCTGGGGAGCCAGGTAGGCTGCGGTAAGCCAGCTTCAAACAGCCCCCCCGAGAGACMTACTGAAGGCGTAAATACATTTAATCCCGCCAAAATCCCCGCTCCCCGTTTGGTGTCCTCTTAAATTTTGCAGTTACAAACACCACGGCTACGTTTCCTTGGCTGTGCCGTCAGGGTATGTSCAGTCTGAGGGATAAGTTTAATTTCCAATGGCATTTAGGAGCTCAAGACTTGATTTTAATGTTACATGGCTTAATCAGAGATCTACTCATTAATTCTATTAATATTCTTTTAAAAAGAAGAAAAAAAAAAAAGGACCCAGTTACAAATTGGAGGGCAAGAACACAGATTTTTTTTCTGGTAGATTTAAGTGTGTGGCACTATGAAGACCTGACCAACAGCAACTTTTTCTGGAAAAGCTCTTTTCCCATTTTTTAAAGTTTTGAGTGGAAAAAAAAACGTAAAGGCTCCTTCTGGGAGAAAAAAAAAAAAAAAAGAGCTTTATGAAAGCTTTTCCTTCTGAAAAAAAAAAGGGTTTTATAAAATCAGACAGAACTCTGCGTGGCTATCTTAGGGCAGAAGTCTCAGATAATCAATACTGATAAAATTACTTTTCCAGCACCTGACATACAAGCTCTACTGAAACGTTTCATGTGAACAAAAGAAATGTACTAGTGCTCAAACTGACTACTTTTATAGTTAATTTCTTCTTATTTTTTTAACAGGAACCTTTGCTTAACGAAATGAAACACAATCTGGTGTGCCAGACACCTCCCACTGTCACTGTTCGTGTAAAATCGAGTGCATCCAGATCACATCAGCAAAAAAAACTTAGTAGACTAAAGCGACCTGCTTTTAAAGACCAACAAGAAAACTGTGAAAAAGGGGTTCCTAGTCAGAAATATAAATGTCCAAAGGGACCATGTCTAGTTATTCAGCGTCAGGAAATGACAGCTTTCTTTAAATTATTTGGTAGGTTAATAATGTGAGATATGAATGTATTGACTGAACAGAATCTTTTCTAAGCTTATGGTTTTTGAGAGTGCTTTTTATATCAAAACCATTGGCAATTCTTTATCAAAACATTTTGTTGTTATATTTTGATATATAAATATTTAATGCTTAAATTAAAAATATAAGGGCTACCAAACTGATGAGAAGTATCTTTTTTAAATTACAGATGAAACAAAGGTGGCTTGCTACTTCCTTTTATGATAATTTTCCCTCCTTTCTATTTTCTGTTATATTTTAACAAACACATGTAAAACAATCTTGTTTTACACAAGGCTTTTAAAAAGGCTGGACTCCTTGTATCTTACACATGTTATTTACTGTGGGAATTAACATGGGGGGGGGGGGAGAAGTGGAATGGGTGGATCTMAGGAGTTGGAGCATCTCTTTATTTGTGTCTCTTTCCTATAAAGTTTTATGTTTATTTAATTTAGCAAAGACATTCAGTAGTAGTGGAAGATGACATCTGGTTTTAATTGACCCTTAAATACAGAAGTGAATGAGAGAGAGTTCATGGTAATGGTACATGTTCATGGACAGTGAGGCAGTGACCAAAAATAAGCAAGTATTGCCCTATAGAGGATGCCAGGTAATCAAGGTGCAGGATCTCAGCAGCCTGTAAGTTCCTCTGAAATAAAGGTGTACTGTCACCTGGAACCATTTAATGCAAGAAGAAACTATGCAAACAGCAAAAAATACTGGTTATTTTTCACCTTTGCTTGCTGTTACTGAGAATGGATGAAATGCAGTCACCAGATTTCCCACCTTGCCTTTCTGGTAGTTTGTTTTCTTTTGTCACTTCAACTGTTTTCACACCTGACCTCCTATTCCACTCAGTTTCTCTGTTCTCTCCTGGTGGGTCTAGCTTCTTTCCTTTTACGTGGTTTAAGAAAAGACCGGCTGTTTTTCATTTACAAATACTTTCTAACATAAACAGTTTTGGTGTTTGGAATGCTACAGTTTTCTTTTGTTACAGATGATGATCTAATCCAAGACTTCCTTTGGATGGACTGTTGCTGTGAAATTGCAGACAAGGTAAGTGTATTTCCTTCTTAGCTAATAGAAGATMCATTGAGTAAGAAATCTGTCCTCAATTACTTGATACGTTAATGCAAAAGCGGAACTTTTTTTATCTAATGGGTTCACATGGAAATGTCAAGAAACTAAATTCATGCTTCCCTCTTCGTTMTAAATGATGAAAATGTCTTAGTGCAAGATAAATGTGTGAATCAATTTAGGGAATACTATACTTAAATAACACATTGATACTTCATTTTACATCTTAAAACAGTATCTCTTGGCAATGACTTTCGTTTATTTCAAGAGAGCTAACTTCACAACAAGTGAGCATACCAGAATCAATTTCTTTGTGGCTCTGTAAGTATTTTTAAATTATCTGGTTTTATTTGGATAAAATTTGGATATCATTATTTCTTTATGATACTGATAATTATATGYGATGAGAGTTCCTTGATGTAGTATATAAACGAAAGCAACCTGATCTAGGGGGTGGCATCCCAAGGGTATGAAAGGGGGGCTGGAACTGGGTGGTCTTTAAGGTCCCTTCCAACCCAAATCATTCTGGGGTGTATGGTAATTTGCATACTATACATAAATAGTGCAAATCCAACATTCTTGCTCCAACGGAAGAGGCTTGAGCAGCAGAGAGGGGTTGCTTGCAGTGGTGTAGTGATACACAGAGTGACATTCTGTCTACCAAACTGAATCTGGGAGCTTTTTTAAGCATCACAAGAAATATCTGCAGGACAATACACAGCAACACATATGTGGCTCACAGGTGCTGCTATAAGACTCTACTTCATATTTGTGCCAGCCTTTAAATCATTTGTATCGAAACATTTCACCATGATGGGCACCTCAGGAGTAACTTTTTATTAAAGTTTCTGTCACCATTATTTAAATCAACCATAAGAATGTTGCTAGAGAATTTCTGAGAACTTTCTTGAACAGTTGTAAAATGTTTATACCTTGAAACAGAGGTGGTTATCAGTAATGCATCTTTACCAAGCCTACATAACCCCTCTGTATTTGGCTTTACCTAGAGAGGGTTCTGCATTTTCTTTGACAGTGTTACGGTGCTCAGGTGATCTTTTTCCATACAGTGCTTCTTACATGCTCCGATTTGCACACTAGTGCAGGGGTGAAGGTGGCCGTTCCTTCTACTGTCATTGGTACTATGGGTGACGTCCCCAGACTACAGAGGAAGGAGCCCTCTGACTGTGCTGAAGGGAGAAAAGCCAGGCCAGAACAGCAAAAGGATTAGAAAGGGACAAAGGGTCTGATGAGACTGGGACTAGATGGGATGCTGGGGTCAGGAGCAAGTGAGAAAAGTGGGGACAAGACTAAGAGTCTTCATTTGTTCAGGTGTGATTTACAGGAGTTTAGGATCAGGTGGACCCTGAGGAAGTAAATATTTTCCTGTTGTCTGAGAAGACAAGCCAAAACTAAAAGTAACAGATAGTGAAGGTAGGGAGGAATAGAGACATTAAAAAAAGTCATTTATTACTGAAGGTAGACTTGTATTTAGTTGTATGCTCCTAATGTAATATGAGCAACATAATTTTCCAGGAATAGCTAAAATCTATAAAGTAAAAAATGCAAACTTTAAGATTTCACAGGATAGTTTTAAGCTTTATTTAAAGTATTTAGAGAATCAGTCAGAAACTGTTCATTTTAATTCAAGGGTTTCTTGCCAGCTTGAATAAAGATGTCAGGATATGTTACTTCTTTCTTATCTCCTAATTTAGGAAACTCTAGGATAAAGCAATTTTTATAGAAATATTTCTTTTCATTTTCCTAAAGGATGCATATGGAACTGATTAAGAAAATGCTGTATTCCAGAGAGAAGATGGTATTTCATTAGTACTTTCTCCTCACAAGACTAAAAAAAGAACCCCTTCAATATGTCTGTTATGTTAGAAATTATTTTAATGTAGTGGTTTAAGAATGAATAATATTTACAAACATAAACATATATATATATTTATTTGAAGGTATCTGGCAAACACAATTGAGGAAGACAATGAAGAAGCAAAGTATGACATTTTCCCGTGGGCTTTGGGCAAAGCCTGGAGAAAGCTCTTCCCTGATTTCTTAAGGTTAAGAGATCAGTTGTGGAGTAGAATTGACTACAGAGCTATTGTAAGCAGGCGCTGCTGTGAAGAGGTAGGGAGGGAGATGTAATATTGTAGAAGCTGAAATCACAGTTAACACCAGGTAGCAATCTAGCTCTGTACAATTTCTTCCCTTAAATGAATAGACAGTCCATGTGAAAGCACAGGTGCAGCTAAAATGTAATGGTCCATTAATCCTCCACGTTATCTTTTCCTTCTGCATTTAAAATACATTGTTTGACACTGTTTTTAAAGTAAATTAGAGTCTTTTATATTGCACCATGAAAAGTGACATTTCTACTATCTAGAATCAGCTTTATGAAAATATTTTGTATTCAAGATCTACCTTCATTTGTTTCACTCCATCAACTTTAGAAATAATTTTGTGTGTTGTTTGCTTTACAATTTATAAGGAAAAAAATATATTCCTCACTTTGCAGGTGAAATGTGTATCTGGAAAAGCTCTTGTCATGTTCCAAGTACATCATGTTTACTTGGTGGAAAAAAACCTCTCATTTACTTTAGAGTCCCATCTCTGGGGATGGGATTAGATGCTATGGGAAGAGTACAAGGAACAAGGCGAGCGCAGAATGCTTTTCTTTGCCTGCTCTCCCGGCTCCCCACTGTCATTACTTGAGTGATGGTGAACATTGTCAGCTGGTRTTTAGCAGCAGGCCAAAGACATCACCTTGTGTCCAACATACAAAGCATGAGTTGGTGTTTGTGACGACTCACATGAACATACAGGGCTGTAAACTGGGATGTTTCCACACTTGACTGCTATCGGGATTACTTACTCCTGCCCAAGGGAGCAAACTTTCTAGTGGAACAGAATGAGCCAGAGAAGAGGKATTACCCATTTCAGCTGCATCAATTCCCTGCCATACACTAGCCRGATCTCTTGTTTTCAGCTGTACATTTCCCCATTATTTTTACATTTCCTGATCCCGTGGCTGTTCCCGTAGGTGATGGCTATTGCTCCAGCACATTACATATGGCAGCGAGAGCGCTCTGTGCACCACAGTGGAGCTCTGAGGAATTACGATGATGAAGTCCAGCTGCCCCGAGGACCCAGTGCAACTCCTACGGACTGCCTGCTCTGCGGCAAGAAAGGCAGATTTGTACGACTCGGATTATCATCTTCCTCCTCATCTACTGACACTTTGGAGATGACGGAATTACATTCATCCCAGAAATTGAAGGACACCTTTTCAACCGAAAAAATGCTCATTGACTCTCCTTCCTACAAAGCCCAAGGTATGGTTTAATTTTGCAAATAATTTTCCATTAGTTTAGGCAACTGGGGCCATGTTTATTTCAGAGTGCTGCACGGACTGCTCGGTCCTTCCCTATTACACATGCAGGTACCCTGGCAGAGCTGTGCTCTTACTCTCATGGATTCATTTTCACATGTTGTCTCCTGACTTACTGGAAATACCAACTGCTTTACACTGAGTCTCTTCATTATTACCTTCATCTACTACAGTAAATTTTGGGTTGCATTCCAGTCTATTTATTACTATTCTTGCATCATAAATGAAATTGAGAGTCCCATTTTAAACACCTCTGATTGGCTGGATGAAACAGTAACAATACTGGTGTGCRTTAAGTGAATTAAAGTGCTCTTGCTGTCAGCAGGTTTTGGGAAAGGGCAGGATGCTCAGCTGTGGTATCTGTTTGGACATAGGTCAAATCACAATCCCTATTTTCCTCTAAGTGTATCTCATTTGTTGACAATTTATATAAGACTTCATTTTAATACTGGAGTATGAGTGGAAAACAACAGTTTATTGTGAGAATAGTTTATGTAATTGAATCTCTGCACATTCATCTACTCAAAATAGCATCAGTATTACCCATTCCAAGATGCAAAGGAGGCCTTTGCCTTAGAGACCTCTGTGACATACAGCAGTTATGGGGCAWACCCATGATTAAATTTATTATTAAAAGTGGAACACACTTGAGATGAAAACTTCCTGCAGCATCTGTATAAGGACTCAGCTCTGCAAAGATACTCTTGTGTACTGAGCCAGTGCTGAGTTCCTATTATGCTTATTTAATACAGCATTAGTTATTTGTAGCTCTGTATGTTTTCTTTGCACATATTCTCACTAATATCCAAACTTTCACTATTACAATAGGACTGTTAGTGCTTTCAACTGCTTTAGTACAACTCTGATTCTCAAGGCATCACYGAATTTTGAAAAATCTGGCATTTGAATCCTTCTTGAGATACACCTGATTTGTTCTGTATCACTTAACCCATCACTTAATAATTAAATGTGTTAAACATCACCTGCTCATGTGAGACTCTAAATGCCTTAAGTCTGTTTTTACTTGAAAAATCTTGCTTCTCATCTCTGACAAGGGTCAGAAAAAATTGTGTTTCCTCCAACCATTTCAGAATACTTTATATAAAGGGAAGTTCACAAATAACCAGGCAACTTGCAGCCTAAATGCTGGAAGGGAACCAAAGGAGTGTCAAAAACTGTTTTGATCTTGAAATAAGCACAGCTTTATCAAGCGAACACATTCAGTGATTTTCAGTATCTCTTAAAATCATGCTTCAGGAACATTGTTCTTAAAGAAACCTACAGTCACCAGTTGGAAGCCAGCCAAGTATTCCATTTCAAAGGACAGACTTTGATCCTTATTTTCTTACTAAATTTTTTTTTTCTTATTTCTGGTAGACTGTCAGAGGCTGTCCAGCAAAAGGCAACCATGTAGCACCCTGAACCAGGATAAATCCATGGATTGGTTCACAAGCAGTGGAGAATGAAATACTCCTGATAAGACAGAAACGGACGCTGTGATTTGCAGAACAATCGGTGCTGTATCAACACCTGACATGATGATTCACTTAAAATTTCTCCCTTTAAATAGTGGGGTAATAGTTGGTGTTTCAAACTTGATATGAGGTAGGAAACAAAGCACTCTTTACTTAAAAGTTACACAACTTGCACAATGTAGCATTTACTTTGCAATGTTTTATTTTATTCTGATACAATTTCAAATTAGCAGTTAAGCAGGTAGAAGCATCAAGAAAGCAGTGGTCGAAACTTTCTCAGCTTGGTAAGGAAAGCTAATTAAAAAACAGAAAGTTACTACTTTAATATTTCAGCATACAATGATTATTTTATAATAATAAGTTTTATGATTTCATGATATAGGAATGTACCAAATGCCAATACAAAAAAAAATTTTTTTTTTGTAACAAAAATCCCACTGAACATTTAAGATAAACATTTCCCAAGTGTCTCACCTGAATGAGCTTCCTGCCAGTAGGCTGGTCGGGCAACGTAAGGCACCGAGTGGTTTGTTTCAGCAGCATCACAAAGTGATTCTGTGAGAAGGACATTTTTTTTTTTTTACTTCATTCCCACAAGTTTAGGACGTACATGCAGACTTGAGTTGAAAATGTGCATGGAGTATTTTTTCCCCAACGTGTTTTCTTTTATTTATTGTCACCTATCAGTATATTCAGAACTGTTTGCTCTACTATGCATTTGGCAGATCCATACAGTATATATATTATATTTGGCATCATTTCTGGATTTGCTAGAACAGCATAACTTTAAAACAGAGCACACTGGCACAATTTCTCCTAAGGAATCTTAAGTCCACCCAGGTCCTCTAAAGCAGCTATAGGATGAGTATAAAGAACTTTATTATATAGTATAAAGAATTTTATTAAAAAACAAAACGTTGAAAACAGTAATAGAAGGGCTGTTATTCTTCATTACAGATTGCAATTAATTTTCTATTTAGCTGATTTTTAGTAAGATATTTAAACTTAAATAACAGTTAATAGCCTTTTTCGAACCTGMCAAGGTCTAGACTATCCAAAACCTCACCTAATCTCAGCTGACCTAAGAAAAAATACTGTCTTTTCCTACACTGGATTATTCAAGTGGAGTAATGGGATATCTCATCAGCAGTAAAGTTCTYACCATTGTATTTGCTTTCTTTAAGAGCTGCTTGATTCTGAATATGGATTTCTTCATATTCATTATGAGGAGGTTCTTCGCTATTTTCTTGAGTTTCCACCATTTGGCTTGATTTGCAATTCTTGATTTTAGCGGGGAGTACTGACCAGCTTCTGTGAGTTACCTCAATTAYCCTTTCACACAAGAAAGGAAGCTTGCAGCTCCGTATTCTGTCTAAAAGGTCAATAACCTGTGTGATGCTTTTGAAGAAATGCAAAGGATAAAGTATTTTGAAAGCTCAAATCACACAGTATCAATTCTACTGACTTTGTCAACTCTTTACCATTGAGGTTACACAAGTCCTCCCATTTTAGGTTAAAGSAACAACCTGACTACTGCATTGGAGAAGAGTGCAGTTACTTTGAGGATGTTATAAAATGCAAACTTCACTGACCAGAATGGGAACATTCCCAAAGTATTACACTTTGCAAAGTGTAATTTATACTGAGTACAACTCCCCAAAAAAGTTACGGGGGAAACCCCCCAACTTTGTTAACCATTTCCCGTTAMCCATTAATGTTGGATGTGTATTTCAGAAGATGCTGGGTCCGTACCAACAAATGGTCTGTACCAGGAAATGCCTGAAAAAAGGTGCCAGAAGTAAATACTTACTTTGCTAAGTATACCGCACACACCCCACCCTGCTTCAGGCTTGGSTGTACAACAGGCAGAGCACACTGAGGGTTCAGCATATCCAGAACTACCTGCAAGAGAAAGGTATATTAATGTTTGCTGGGAAAACATATCTACATCTATCAGCGCAATATACAGCAATGCTTGGGAAAAAAACAAGGTCACGGAAGACAGATGCATAAAACAGCAGTATGTAAAGTCATCAACCAGTTTTATTCCTGCCTCTCAAAACCAGAAACAAAGCCAAGTCCTCTCTACTCTCTACTTCCAAATTAATTCCTATTTAAACAGMAAGTAGCATTTGACTAAGTAGGTCTGTAGGAAGTTAAACCTCCTAGTAATCAAATTCCATAATCTTGACAGTAATAAAAACTTACAGAAGACTACATTTACTAATGCATTTGAATACCTATTTATCAAATGTGAAAAAATGTTCAAGTGCATAARAAGAGTACATTATGGTCTCGATGTGTAGCTTGCTCTTTGTTTCAAGATTGAAAAAAAACTTCTGTCTTTGGCAATTTATCCATCTTCTGCTAGGAAGGAATTCAGATTGTAAAACAATGGGATATGCAGTATCTGATCCTTCCTGCAGACTGTTACGTAAAATGTTTTTTGAAATGGTACTTTTATGGCATGTATTATATTTCTTTGCTCAAGCCATTAAAAAATTGCCATTTGTTTAAAGCCATTTAGTAAGTAAAGAGTTGTAAGTAGTTTGTCTGCTTTACAGGGAAGAGTGGTTTACATCTAGCTATTTTCCCCAGYGCGTCTCCTTTTAGGAAATCTGGTACAAAGAAGCGGGACAGGAGAGCAAGCAATAGCATTCCTTAAATTACGGTTTAGTTACGTTGTGCATTCTATATAGCTGATAGCAAAGTGGTCACATAGTTACATTTTTAATAAGGTTTTGTGTTCTTCTGAAATTTAATGCTTCACATAGGTATCTCATAAAGATACYAATTTCTCAAAAATACAAGAAAGTAAGTTGGTCTTTGCTGACAAGATATTTGTAATTAATTGTAATGTTTCTACAGTACAGCTTTATCATACTTTCATTTCGGAACCTGTAACTGAAAGCTTGAAAATATGAGTATATTACAAAAACTTACAATCTTTCTTTCATTGATGAGAATCTGATTGTTTTTTCTCATGTTAAACWAGATAGGGGAGTTCTGTTGTGAGTGTGAGCACTAGGGGTTTTCATTTATGGAGAAAAGACATTCAAATGGAGGAATTGTTTGGATTCACTCACTGCATCAAGAGTTACAGATTTCATATCTGCAGCAGCTGTTGAAATGTCTTTAAGAATGAACTCCACATTATCTGGCCACTCATCCATGTGTCCTATTTCCCATGCAGAACGCCAATGCCTGTAATTCTTCTTAGCTAAATGATGATGATCATCTCTGATTTCATAACTTAGAACACGTCCTTTGGGCCCAACTGAAAACAAACAAAAGACACTCCACTCACCACTTTTCACCYGTTATAAAGACTTGAAAAAAACCCAAAACAATATAGTCTACAACTTAAAGCACGCCTTTCCATCTCCAGTTTAGGAAATTATCAYATATGAAACAATCAATGACAATTTAGGCTTTCTTTACATTTACATTTAAACAAACATATGCAGAAAAAATGCTGTGCTAGTTCTTGTACAGAGGGAAATGCATCAATGCACAAATGAAAGAAAGTGTAGTTGTCATAGTACTGACTGTTCTACTGAAGTCACTCCTGAAGCAAAGACAAGTTGAGCATCTGTGGCCCCTGATCCTTCTGCCAGAGCAACCAGAGGTACCAGATGAGAATGCTGCAAATGATCACAGCTCACAGCTAAGAAAAGCCCAAGAACCTGCTCACCRATCTCAATCCTACAAGTTTTCCAGTGTACTTTTTGATTTACATAGGCCTCTGTAACTTTGCTGTTGTTTGCAACAGTAATAATTAAATSTAAATTCAGTGTTCTGAAATTTACCATCTGAGTCTAATGTACAATGTGTCTCATAAAGGAAGCAMTTCCAGACTTTCAGGCAGACAGCAGAGGGTGCACTGCTGTATTAATCTCTATYTGTATTACTCCAATTCCTCAAGCCTATCCCACCGCTCACTTCTCTCTCTCCTTGTTAGTTTGGAATGGGTTCAGGCARCTTTCAAGAACCAGCAGCTCCCTGGGTCAGGTTCTGTGCCTTTCTAAGCCATTTCAGTTTGAAGTAACCAGTTCCTCCTTGCCTCACCTATGTGAGTGATCTCACTGTAAATCCATTCGGGCAACTGAATAAAAGAAGGGACAGATTTTCAAACAGTCACTCCTTGATCAAGCTCACCCTGGATCAGACAAAGGCCAGAACCAACTTGTAAGAAAGGGAAGGTTTCAGCATGTTGCCTTTGAATACCCGAAGCAATTGCAGTGTCACAGCGCCGACTCTTCATCACTTCAAATGATCRGCTTAGAAACATCAGAAAAATAAAATTCTTCACACTAGGCTCAGTCTTACCCCTGCTCATTCAAAGTAATTCCTACTTTTTGAAATTGACGTTTCTTTTAAATAAGAACAAGGTAAAATAGCTACGCAAAACATTATTGCAAAGCTACAGTGTGTCAAATTTGCATACATCATATTTTCCACTTCTCAGGACATGCAATGTGTGTTTCTCTGCTTTATCAGCGTTAAGAAAATCAGCGATGAAATTCTTGTCTTTACCCTCCAAGTCCTTTAGTACTGCAAACAATTGTGATGGTTTTGTTTTCTTTTCTTAAGGAATTTGTTCCACCAGCAGTTGTTATATCAGATTATTGTGAAATGTGGTCCACTWGTTGCATGCCTGCAGACAAGATGAATTTGAAGGGTGATTTTACCCTCACTCACATGGCTGAGTGCAAAGGCTCTCTACCTTTCAGGGCACGGAGACCTTGACCAAACCAGGCYGGCTGTAACACGAAAAACAACATTGCGCATCCTCATCAGCATTTTCACTCACCCAGCAATCAGATTATTGAYGTGATGCATCAAGATAAGGAAAAGAGAAACTGAGAAAAGCAAGAGAATGGAGAGAGAGCCAGGTGTGGTTAAGCCAAAGCCAAGAATAATGATGGCCAAAACTCAAATTTTGTGCAGGGCCTTTGGGCACAGACAAAATGGTTTGCGGTTGCTGGGCT